AATAAGTCCACGACGTCAAAATCCTAATTTTTTATTTTTATTTATTTATGTACATCAATTAATTTCCATTTATAATGGTAGATATTGAATTTATTTTTTCGACAGCGAGTTTTAAATTATAATTTTTTGCTTAAGATTGACTGTTTCAGCTATTTACCCACCATTGAATTTCTTGGAGCTCTAGCAGACTTTTAGACGGTGTCTAAATTTGAAATAGTCACAATGGCCATGTTCAAAATACAATTTTTCTACATCTGTTGCCATTTTCGCCATGCAGGGAATCGTTCGATTGTATTTTTCTCCTGTCTTCTATACGAAAATTTAAGTCATCTTGATGTGACAATGTTTCTTTAATGTATAGTTATTTTATTGATGGGCTGACAAACAGATAAAAAAAATTGCTTTAAAATTAGGGTCGATGGAGGAATATTTATAAAAGTACGCCATCGACCCTAATTTAGATTAAATTATTAATATTGTGTTGTAGGTCGATGGAGAAATATCTAGTACTCTACCGACTAATCAGAATGAGTGCAATGTACATAGGTGTGAATGTATTTATTTGCGCGACTGTATTATAGAAGTTAGTTTTAAGCTAGATTATAGTTTGCATGCGTTGGGGGTTGAAATGACCTAGCTGTCGTAACCCCCTGCCGGAGTCTAACCCCGTTGGTCGCGAAGCGACAATCTCCTGGGCATTTGGCTTAAGGGGGATATTAGCGACCCAACCGCATAAAAGGGTTAGCTGTACTCCCTTCAGGTAGAAGGACAGCATATGAGGAATGACAAACTTCGGGGTGAAAGTACAACAGCTTTAAAATCGAATGTGTTTATACTTTACTGTGTATTATATTTAAAATAGTTAAAATTGTCAAACTTTCATAAATGTTGTTTGTTTTATATATGTGTGCTTATTTTTTAAAAATAAAATGAATGGTCTTGTTTATCTTTATTTCTTATCCATACTTTAAATTTCACTTTATACTATTATTATACGCAAAATGAGAACTATTATAGCCCAAATTGTCGTCTATTCTTTAACCTCTACTTTTTAAGTGCATGTTTTTGTGGTTTGATATTGAACTAGCTTTACAACACGGCGTTGCACAGGGGGATAATATAAAGTATTATATAACTCATTATTTTGAGTATGAAAATTGCTATTGCTAGATAGGAGCTTATACATAAATTAAATGAACACAATTGAATGTTTGATATCAATAATTGTATGTAGTCATGGTATAGATATTTACATATGCAATATTATTTTTGTTTTGGATTACGTTGTATTAAATTGTAATTACTGTTGTATTAAACGTTAAATTCATTGCAATGTTCTTGGATATATAATGTTTTTGGTGATTCCATTTGGCATATATACAAACAACAAATTCCTTGGTTGCCTGGAGCATGTATAATTGTCCATGAGAAAACCATGGATTATCCAAATGTGTGCTTCACAACAATTTCACACAACGCCAACATGACTCCACAAGAATAGCACCACACTTTATGCGCTGAAGATGACTCGAATAAAGGTCGAAACAAGGGCAAAAAATGAAAAAGGTGTTTTCTTAAACTACTTCATTCTTGACCGCTCCTCACGAATCCAACATATTATTAAACAACTACTAACAAAAACTAAACAACAAACTAAAAAAAACCACATAATAACATTGATTGACCTTGTCATTTGTTTATCATTACTGCAAAAGCCAATTTATTTGGAAATTGCAATCGTTTGAATTGGAAAGGCACTTCTGTTGGTATCATTGGTATAGGTTGTATTAGCACATCCTCTCCTTTGAATTTTTGTAAGAATATTAATATTATTGTACTAACAATAAGTTGTCGTTTTGGTGGCATTTGAAACAACAGCAAAATGCAATTCTACAACATAGAGTCAAAAAGTCAGAATTTTTTACAGTATAATTTTTGCACTTTGAAAAAAATAAATAAATTGCTACGACCGTTTAAACAAACGAAATATAGAGGGAACAAGAAGAAGACTGGAAATTAGTAAGTATCGTTGTTAAGGGCACTTTTTGTAAATATGTTCCTTCACGTTGCATACAATAGAGAGATGTGGGGTGCATGTCTGGTGTTACATTACGCGGTGATTGCATCTTTGTGCCAGAGGCCACCTGGGCTACCCTTCCATTCGACTTGTTTAAATAATAATAAAAAGAAAAAAGGGTGGGCAGAAATCCGTTAGGAAGTGACTAACTAGTCCACCCTTTAGGGGAGAGCGGATCCCTTTTTTCTATTCAACCAGTGCAACGAAATTTCAATGGGACTATACTTCCTCATCCCCCTCTCACCCACTTCCGCAACCAATCCCACAAAATCCGTGCTAAAATGACAGAAAGCCCGTGATTTCATTTCTTTTTTTTTTCTTTTTTTTTGGTGCATGTGTCTATGTGTCCTCGTAGCAGACGTTTGGCCCAAACGGAATGTCAGTTTAAACTTTTCAATGAATAAAATTTAAAATTCTCCAGATTTTTAGATTCTACCTATTTTTTCTTTTGGTCTTCCCGTAATTAAATTTTTCAAAAGTAAAATATTTAGTTTTCATAGACGTCTATTTATTTCTGTTCTGTTATAACCCATTTTTAATGAACTTTCTAAAGAAGCTACATCGGCCAGTCACTGAAATCACTCGTTAATACATAGATAGCTTTTTCCGTCAAATTGACCCGTTTTAACGTCAAATTAAGCTTTTCAAATTTCAAATTAACCTTTTATAACTAATTAACTCTATTTAATTTCAACTTACCCCTTTTTAAAATTCAAATTAGCATTTCAAATGGACCTTTAAAATTCAAATTAAGTTTTTCAAATTTCAAATTGACCTTTTATAACTTCAAAGTAACCATTTTTAATTTCAAATTAACCCTTTCTTTAAAGCATTAAAAAAACTTAAAAGATGGCATGAAATAATATGTGCATATTAAAAATAATAATAATTGGGCTCTTAAAAGACTATATTAATTACAATTAAAATTAAATGTTATATAAAATTAAATATAAAAATAAATTATTTATCTTTTAATTTAAGATAAAATGATATAAAAATAAATGAAAAACAAATCATTCTTTCATTAATGTGAGATTTCATAAAAATATAAAATAGTTATTTTATATTAAAAAAAACACGAATTAATAGAAGAATCTTTTGTTTTTATATTTAATTTCAATTGTAATTCATTGTCCCACAAGGATACATTTGTAGACTCATCATGTAACACTTTTACAATGCAGGCTTTCTTATACATCCTACATAATCACCACCTAGCAAACGATACCACAATTTTGTCTACTACTCGAATCCTATCCACGTTACCTCCAACATCCATGAACACGTTGAGTGTATCGAAGATTGGTGCTAAAAGTGGGGGACAAAAAAAAAACAGCCCTCACACATCAAGAACAAAGAGGTCCAAATTTCCATTCGTCAAATACTTAGGACAGCAGACTGGCGTGTAATACCCACACAAGACTTAAGAAGTTGTTACTTAACCTAAGATTTGGACGACTACAAAGACTTCTAGGACCAAAATTTGTCTTGACCGTCAAACCTCAACTAACCCTATGCAAGATTTTACTGTGACCATTTTGGACATACTGAGTGGGGATATACTTGGTGTGGGTCAACCAAGAATGAGTTGGACTGTGGAGTTCAGCCAAGCCATTGACATCACAGCATTCAATCCTTCCAATCAAAAGGGCTCAGACAAATTGTCATTCCTTTTGACAATGATTTGATCAGTTACTGATTCCAAAAGTTTCACTCCAACCTAAGAGAGGGACTATTAGCAGATGACCCATGTCTAGGGAGACAGAGATAACAGAACATATAGGAAAGCCCTTGTGCAATATAGACTTTGATACCAAACCCCTGAGAAGAACGAAAGTTTATATGCTAATGGGGGAAATTCCTACGATTCCAAATGGAAAACATATAGCTTCTGTTGTCTGACATGAATAACATCACTTTTGCTGTCCACTAGTAAAAAGTGGATTACTACTTAAGAAGACTTCTTCTATCTTAAGAGAAAGAAGTATGTAGAATAGATTCTTGAGATCAGACCAAATCATAAAAGAGAAATTTTTTATTAAGTTTGGCATGATCATTAAAAAAAATCTATTTTCTTAAACTAATTTATTTTGATTTATGATTTTTGAGATTCTTTCATTCATTGAACATACTTAATTAAGCTTTGTATGGTAATTAAATTAAAATGTAACAGTATTTTTTTCCAAATATTTTGTCTAAAGAATATACTAGTACTCCAAACAACAGTTATTTTTTATTTTTTATGATTTGGATTTTGCACATTAAACACTCATCATTATCAGGTTGAAGGAGTTACAAACTCAATATTCTCACTCTTACAATTCATGTCGGGAGAAGTGTTGGCAACTACTTAAGTAAATCCCCAAAACGTCCAAAAATTTTAATGTAAAAATAAATCAGGAAATTATAAAAAACAGAAGTTTTTTAACCAGAAAATATTTTATATTTTACAGTGAACTGCTCAATACATTTTTTTTTCTTTATGAACTGATGTACTAACCTCTTGGTATTACATTAGTACACAGTTATTCAGAAATCGTGAGATGCGGTCAGACTGCATCTCACGATTACTGAATAACTATCAATTAACGGTCACTAATCTCTACACATTATGTACACACCTAATCCTCCTAATAGAAATGTGGATTAACAATAAAACAATGACAAATAAAAAAACTGCTCAAACTTACCTGTTATATGAAAGGAGTTTTTCACTTCAATTTGGAAAGAATTGCAATTTTTTCAATATAAAAAAAAACATTTTTGAATCATAATGACCATGTTACCAAAGTGGAAATATATTTATTGACAAAAATATTTAAGCCCATTGTTTTAAATAAATGGTCAAATAGACTATTATATGCTGCATGAGCATTGTTTTTTGGTTGGAAGGTAATGATGTATCGGTCAATAGCACTGAAGATGGAACATACTTAATTTCTTTTTATTATTTTGACTACACATCTGCATTACTTTTAAACAGGAAACAACTAATCAATTATAAAACTTAGTTACATAATATCACAAATTATAACATTTTATTGTAAAACAAAACTCAATTTCAAATTCTTCAGTTATAAAAAGTAGAAAAAGTATTTGACTTGTGTTATAACTAGTTTCCAATTAAAAACAGTTTACACTACAAATTGGCCTTGAGCATGTATAGAACAGTTTTCAGGCAAAAAGTGTAATCAAATCATTCAACCATATTTATCCATTCTAAATATACTGAACTGAATGTGATTTCTAGATAGAATGGCAAATTAATTTACACCCAATATGATAAATGCCTTATATTGACTATTAAAAAAAAAAATTGCAGATAAAAATAGTTTTGTAGAAGATTAAAAGCCAAGCTTAGGCATAATAAATTGAATATACACAGAAAAAATGTTAATATTTTATTTTTGTTGCCCAAATCAGGTATTGGGAAAATAATCTAAGTTGTACAACACAAGTTCTTTATCTTACAAGGCATTTTTTACAGAACTATGGGCAGTGTGCACAGCATATTATTGCATTTGGTGTATTGCATTAAGTGTTGTAACACATGCTATATTAATTATACACACATATTTCAAAAGAAATTTACCACTTTCTAAACTTCAATTTATGCTGTTTTAAGTACTACTGACAGTATAGATTTAAAAAAATCATATTTTTGGTGAAAATGCCAACTTTGCCCAGAAGGCTTGAATTCATTTCATAAAATGTGTAAGTGCCAGAGCCCCAGCGCAGGTGTTCCACGCTGTCTAGAAATTATTTATTATTTCATATTAATATTTTTAGAAACTATCTTCATCTATTTCCATTATTTTTATGTATTTCCATTTTTTTAAAACCCTTTGTAATTAAATGTAGTACATTCATTTACATACTACTAAATTAAATCTAATGATATGCTTTTGAAAGATTATTTTGTTTATGAAATGATTTATTTATTTTAATATAAATATCTATTATACCAAATTAATGTTTAACAACAAATAAAATTTATATTGCCAATGTAAATAAATTGTATTATTGGGAGTTATTTAGCAGACAGCCAAATTGTATCTTTAGTGATCCCCATTTTTATATATATACACATATATAAAGTTTTTTGTTTTATTATTTTTTTTATGTCTCTTCCCAATACCAGTGTTTTGTGCTTGTGGTTGAGTTTCCACTCACATTTACACACATTGTGTTCAAGTGTGTAGCAATCAATTAAAGTTCCATTTTAGTGACAAAAGTTTAAAAATTTTAATCAATTAATCACAATAGGCTTGACTAGGTTTAGTTCTAATCGGTCGGTCGCCTTTCACTATATTTTTTTGTGTAATCTTCAGCATTTTTAAAGAACTTCTTCCTATCCTTGCTAAATTCTTCTGCTAAATCTGCTCGTAAAGGATGCTCTGGCTCTGGATCATTCACTAAAGCAATTAATGCTTGAATAACTGCAACACATAAAAGTTAATTTCAACAATTGAATATTAGATGATTAAATTAAATATTGAATATTACACAATTACAAGCAATGTAACAAATAGTTATCATTGGTATTACATTTTATCACCATAAAATATTACATTGCCATATAAGACCTCATGTCCACTGAGAGCAGAATGCTACGAACTGCTAATGTTTGTTAATCTCTATGTGTTAAATGGTGCATACGTTCCTTGTCAATTCAGCAGTATTTGTTCAAACTTTGTACTGGCAATATGGAAGGGGTTATCGCAGACAACTTTTAGCTTAGATACATACAAAAATTACCTCACCAATTACAAGTTTTGAAGCCATGAGAAAGAAAATGTTTTATAATTTACAGTAAACCCTTCAAGACACTTTTTCTTTATGAACTGGCGCGTTATCTCTTTGGTATTACATGACTTAAACACCTAATCCTCCTATGTAAATAGAAACCTTGATAAAGGTATAAAAACATTAACTAATGAAAAACCACACAAACTTTTTTGGTTACCTGGTAGTATTTATGTTAATAATAATAATAAAAGTGATGGCAATAGGATAAATTAGTCTACGAGTGAATGTTTGGAGTCTTAAGGGATATAGCTAAATTAAGATAGAAGGTTTGGGATGTTAGGGCGTGAAATGACCTTAGCCGTTAAAATGCCCTTAAAAATTAATTATAATAATAATAATAATAAAAGTGGTAATTCGCTTTTATATACCGAGTGTCCCAGTTCATTCTGACGAAACTCAGGAAATCGATTCTACTCTTCGTTTGGAGCAAAAAATGACCAGGAGAAATTTTCATAAAGTTCTTTATTTTGAAGATATTCGTCACCATTTGAAAGAACGCTTAATTTGCTGTAAGATACTTCTATTTGCAATAATCTGAATGACATAAAATGTTAGCAAATATCAGTTGGAACATGTCAAAATTACAAAATTTAAAATTTTGGTCATGATTGCACGTTCTACTGAGGTTACAAAAAAATACCTACAACTTGTCAAATTTCACAAAAACTTCTTCATCTAATATGCTTTATGTTGATATATCCAGGTTTTTAAATAACATTCTGGTAGAGATGAAAAATAACAATAGAATATTCGAAAACGTGAGCTAAGGTAAATTTGAAGGGGCAGGGATAGAAATAAATCAATTAGAACTCGCTTTGTAAAATAAAAATGACACACACACTTGTGCAAACAAAATCATGTTTCAGTTACACACCCTATCTGATACATTCTGTGATGATTATTGTTTAAACTTCGATCCCATCCAGAATTTTTCATTCAACCAGTCAAACAAGTGTCATTTTTATTTTAGATTGTTCACCTGTTTTTGGTTATTCACTCAAATTTGACTTCAGGCCTTTTTGAATGTTTCAACTCCTAGTGGACGCAAGGCCTAAGATGAGATACTTCAAAAAATAAGGAATACGTTTAAAATTAAATATGTAAGTACAGGATTGTATTGAAAATAATTTATTTGTAGCCTGCACTTATCAATACTTATTACAAATATGTGTATTTTTTTCCTCCCAGTCACAACAATGACACTATGGCCAGCACTGCACCCGAAGGAAGCATGTTAAAAGAAACCAGCCAACACTGGTACTTAATATGAAGGATTAATGCACAAGGAAATCTCGTGACATGGTGGGTTTTTTGAATAGGAAAGTGTAGAGTGGGCTTGTGCAGTGGGGTTAGGATGGATGAAGGGCTTCATGTGAAATTTTTGAAATTGGGATCAGATCTGTTCATTGACAAAGGGAATGTTGAGGTTAGTGTGGAGATTAGAAACATAGTAAGAAGCTTTGACAATTTGCCTGAACTCTTTTGATTGGAAGGATTGGATGTGTTGAATGATGGATCCCACAGTTCCACTTCATAGCCTATGTCACAGCGTCTTGTATAAAGTTAATTAAGATGCAACAGTCAAAACAGATTTTGGTCTTAAAATTGTTCAAGTCTTCTGTTATGCTGCCTTTTAAGTCTTATGTGATTCTACGTCAGTAGTCTGTTGTCTATGTAAAGTCTGATTTGAGTGGAAGTCAGTTCCTTGTTAGTGATGTGCAGTGAAGAGCAACTGTTTTTCAATGTAAATGTAACTGCGTATATACAGAGTTGCTTGATTTTGTGCACCAGTCTTTAATAAATTCAAGGTGTTCTTGGATGTTGGAGGTTCGATAGGATTCAAGTTAGAACATATTGTGGTCTGCATAGGTGGTGATGATGGTATTGGGATGTGTAAGAAACTCAGCAGTGTACATGTTTTACAGGATGAGACCAAGAGTACCTTTGTGGGACACTGACTTTTGGATAAGATTTGGGTTAGAGGACAAAAAATTGCGGTATGATCCGTCAAATAAATTTAAAATTATTTGCGATCAAGACCGGAATGCCAACAATTTGATGATTTTTTAAATATTTTTTCGTAAATCGTTGGAAAATACTTATCGATAACATATGACATGAATATATTTATTTTAAACGTTAATTTAGAATTATCATAGTAATCAGTTAAAAAGTAAAACATTCATCACCTTGGTCTGTTTTTGTGGCTGGCTTCCAGTTTTCCGCACTAATGATAGGTAAGCATACTTGGCCCTTTTCATCTATATTAGGATGGTAGATTTTAGTCTTGAAGCATATTTTTGGTGGTTTGAAAGGATACTCCGCAGGAAAATTAATTTCAATCCTAAATGAGCCTTTATTGTAAGGTGGGTTATCCTAAAACAACAAATCATAATATTCTGTTACTTAAAACCTAAACAAGTCAGACAAAATGATGATGGGATTAATTATTTTCTCTTGTGGAAAATCTCTATTATTTAAAATAATAAGGTATAAAACAAATTCTGTTTTTCCCATTCGTATTTTTGTCATTATATTTTTAATATTGTATTTTTGGTTTTGTAATGTTGTAAAATAATGTATCTTAATAATGAATAAATAATATAATAATGTAAAATAATGAATAAACATGACACTTATAATAACATATTGTGAAATAAAATAGATCCTCAAGGTTGAAGATTTAAAAAAAAATTATTATAGAAAAAATTCCTACAGCTGCCTTGGAAAGGGTGTCACTGCCTGCGTTCATTTCAATTTGTTTTATTTATTTATTAATTTATTGGAAGCGATTTTTTTATTTTTTTATTATTTTGTGTGTGTTTGGTTATTTAAATTAATTATTTACCCATTTTGTATGAGTGTGTAAAATAAAGGAAAATTATTGTAGAATGTGTTAACAACTTTTATTCAACTACACACCCAAACTGAACAAACATTCTGCAAGTAGTTTACTTCATTTACTTAGAGGTTCGGGGACACAACTGTTGTGTCATTCAATTTATATCACTTCAATAAACATAATAAAAAAGAAATAAAATATGTTAAAAAATCATTTACGTTATTTTAAAGCACCAGACTAGAGAGCCTACATGATAAATTGGGTTCCGCTGTGAGCAACCAAAATGGACAAGCATAGGCTGCAGTCAATTTGTAAATGCCGATAATTGGCAACTATCATTTTTACTGTACAATGTATTATATTATACTTACAGGTACAATTAAGCCAGTCCATAATAAAATATTGGTATCATCTACATGTATATCTCTGAAGGACCTAAGGCCAGATGACCGTATGTCATTTAACTCCTGTAAAAAAAATTTGAAAATATTACACATCTCATAAAAATGTATGTATTTTGTTAAATCTATGACAATTTGATTTAAAAGCAATGTGAAATGTTTACACTATGTTCAGAAATAGTTTTAACATAGATCAATTGTTTTAAGTGCAAAAGGGCATAATCCCTTTGACTCCTATTAAAAAAAAGTATTGGTAACCAGAAAATCATTATTTAGTGATAACATGAAAAATCTATAATTAAAATTAAAATTAAACCCTAATGAGAGATGTGGCTAATATAATTATTAACAGATTGTTCCAACCTTTTTTTTTGCCAACATATTTTTTGGGGGCGACAGACAGCTGTTAACCATTGTCGCTTTCTGAAAAAATTAAATATTTCTTTTTATTTAAATGTCAATAAACAGCTTTATTTATTTTTTTTTTTGGGGGGGGAGTATGTAGTAGCACAGCACAGGGGAAACATGCCATATCAAACTTTGTTAAAATTGTTAACAGGAGCAATGTCAAAGTTGGTCAAAATCTTTGACTTTATTATTACACTTTTAGGTTGGTGTGTGTATGTGTGTGTGGGGGGGCAAATATTTTTAAATTATAATTGAAAAAAGTTAATAAGTATTTATTTAATTAAAAATGCACAAGAAATGATATTTATTCACACCATCCTTTCTCTGGAACAACCATGATAACTCACCAGTTCAGAGACAGGAATAGCATTATTTTAATTACCGAGTTTAATTTTCAAAATGTATGAACATGTATTATCTTTGTACGAGCACATTTTAGGCAGCAAATTGTATGATGATTTTTTGATTTGAAGTAAGTAAAAATTTTACTAATGGTTTAATTAATTAATTAATTTAATGGTTTATTCACATTTAAATGTAAATGAAATTTCTCTGGGGAATCGTGACAGCTCAGTGACAATATATTCTTACATCTAAAAAGTTTTATCATTAATTATTTATAACTGGCTGTTTCTTGGTTAGGACTGACAAGTATTATTTGATTATGGCAAATAAATATACATATGAACACCAATTCTCAGCAATTAACAATTACAATCAGGACATTTGAAGATGTATTAAAATTGTTAAAAGGAACAAAAGTGTCCATGAGTGAGTGAGCAGACAGAAATTATTTTAACTGATTCGAGTTGCTCGAAATCAGAGTAATCATTAGGAGTTAGATTATTCTCAGTTTAAGTTGGTATGTTCCTGGCTATAAGCTGCAGGGCAAGTCTAATTGAAGGATGTTAGAAAGTGTTTATTCACATGGCAATTAACAAGAAAAGACACTCATTTCAACCTTTCTCTGTGGGAGTAGTGACAAATAAGATTCAATTATAGTTTTATTTCCTTGAATTTAATTTAAAAGATAAATTAACAACAGGCAGGCGATGGGTTCCATCTAGCGTAACTTTGTTAACAACTATCAAATAAGTATTCCTTTGAAATATAAAATTTTTGACGCAGTGCTGCGGGCATTATTTGTTATGCTTGTCAGGTATAGGGACATGAGCACTAAAAGGTGCTTGAGATAATGCAGAGAGTATTTATAAAACAGTTATTCTGTCTGCCTAATGATACACTAATGTCCTTTTTACATTTGGAAATGGGAAGGAATACTACATTCATTTTCTTTCTAAGCTGCACTTCTCTTATGTATTACAGATCTAGTCAAATGATTCGAGGGATAGATTAACCCATCTAGTAACCACAGAAATTATAAAACATATAACATCTTGGTATGAAAGCTGTCTACAGCTGGCCGATACTTGCAATTAGATGACAGGCCGAGTTACAAGAGGAAAGAGCACACCAACTCTAATAAGCTGCTATTAACACAAAAGAAAAAGAGGGATTCCTATTCTCAGCAAAATACTACCAGCATCACAAAATCTATCATAATTTAAAATTAAATGTCATGAAAAAAAAAAACATTATTAGGCTAAGAAATGAAATGATAAATCCGAATTACAAGCTGTGGATTAGTGGAGTAAACTTTAAGTATTCATTTAACCTGAACCATTAAACCTGAAAGCTGTTTCCACTTTGTTGGTGAATGCCCACTCCTCAACTATTATATGGTGCAGTTTTTAATAAGAAGTCCCACAGACAGAATTTTTCGATTTAGACAATGTAAATAATTGGATTAATCTGGCCCTATTTTTAAAATGTCTATCATTGTACAGAAATATATTCATCGAGAAATTTAATTTTTAAGTATTTCAATCTTTTTATTATTTTGTTGTGCAATATTAATTTCTATCATAGTTTTTTGTTTGAATGATTCTTTTAGTAATGTGTAAACTTATTATATATAAAATGTTTAGTCAAAACAATGTTTATTATTATTATTAGAGTCTTTTCTTGTTAATTGCCATGTGAATAAACACTTTTTGACATATTCAATTATATTAAAATTTTGTAATATAAAAAAATACTTATCCTGCAGTTTATGGCAAAGTATACACCGACTTTAATAATTCCAATGATATAAGAAACTTCAGTCAGTTAAAACATTTCAGCCTATTTAATTTATCTTGGAAACTTAGAATCCAGTCATTCCAGCCCAAAATCCTTCGAAACAGTGCACAACGCTCCTACTTTGTGTCCAACTCGATCTACACCGACTTCTGAATCCCATTTTTCCTTGATACAGTCAGATCTTTCTCTCTCTTTTTTTTTTTATCTGCTCCTTGCCTTGGCCTAAGAGGCACTATCAGAGATTACTCCTCAGCAAAATATGCGCTGCCTGAGGTTATTATCCAATTCCTTCTGAAATCTTTGGTGCAATTATATTGCACACAGGATAATCAACATGTAGGTATCTCGGTTATAAGGGGGCTACTTTTTTTTTTTTTTTTTTCAATTAAAAGGGTAATAAATACAATTTTGTTTCATTATAATAAATTATAATTTATCCTCTATGTTAATAAATATTTTTAACAAAATAAATAAATAGTTATAAATAATTATGCTCATAAGACTAACCACAGAAATAAATTTAACTAGGTCACCTTTTGGTTGAGACCAGCCTTTTTTTCTCCATCACACTAATGACAAATTCTATTGATGCCTTTGTTTTCCTTGCTGAACATTTCGTTCCAAGATAGTTGAATGCCTTCAAAATTCATTCTGGCTAACAATCTGGTTCTTTCTCGATAGTAGAGACTGCATCTTAAAACTGCGTTGTGTTTAACGTTTTCTACTTCTCTTTGACATGGGTATTCTAGACTATCATTTTTGGCAAAGAAATGTAACTTCCAGCAAAATCGCCATGTATAAATACAAATTGTGAAACAGTATTGTTAATTTCTATCTTATTTTTAATTCATTCTCTTATATCTGTCAAGCATTCATGTGTTGTCCTTTACAGCTTGCATTCCAGCATGTTTGCCTCTCATTTGTGGCCCTTCCTCTGCTTCTTTCAGTGCGCTGACAGGGATGTTGGGTGTTATAACATTCCTGATGTCCCATAATGCACATATTTTTTTATCGCTATGTCTATGAGCAGCTGCCTCACAATGACTTGCAGTGCATCAGTGGATACCGTTCAATAAGCTTTGTCCTCGAAACAATACGAAGTTGATATAAACGTCTCCATTAAACTCTAGAACTTCATGCCAAACCCCTAGTCCAACACCTTTCAAACGGAACCATCCTCAACAATCCTCTGTGAAGCCTAAAGTGATGGTGCGATATTTTTGTTTTTGATGGGGAGTGTACATTACAAATTCCACTGATTGCAAATAACATTGGTTATTTAAAACTCTTTCTTCCAGAACAATATTTCATGAGAATTTTTGCATTTTTTTAACAATTTGAATGAACTTCAAACATCCAGTTTAATCACTAGTCGCAAAGAAAAAGTTTGAATGCTTTTTTTTGTTTTCCCCCACTTGGTAACTGTCATGTAAAGATTTATCATGTTTATAAATAATAATAAAATAATATGTGTCAGTCCAGACCAAGATACCTTCCTATTAAAGCATGGGAATCATAGTGAGTAATTTTAATTGATTTATTATTTTTTATGCATAGTGTGGTTGAATTGAAAAATTAGTGTCATGAGTACGACTCGAACCCACGACATCAATATCAGTACCTCGGCGTTCTAACCACTTGAACTACCATGACTTCTTCCCTCTTTTCAGCCAATATTCAAATATCACTATATTACATAGTTATATATTTATTTAAAAATAATTAAATATTAATATTCGGCTACTGATTTGGATGTAATGGGTTCGAGTCCCGCTCATAACATTAGTTTTTCAACTCAACCAAACTTTGCAAAAAAAATTAAATCAATTAAAATCATTACTCTGGTTAATAATGGTTATTATACCAAAAACACTATGTTAATCATGATTAATCATCTTAGAAATAAGACTATAAAAGTCTCTGATTTGTCATTACTCCCACAGTGTCTTTGAATGAGTGTCTTTTCTTGTTAATTGCTACGTGAATAAACACTTTTTAACATATTCAATTATATTAAAAAGTACTTGCCCTGCAGCTTATAACCAGATACACACCAACTAAAACAGCGTAGCCGAGTGGTCAGTGTAATAGGACTCTTGGCTCATAAACCCTGCGGTCATGGGTTCGATTCCCCTGGCCCTTTTTTTCATGATATTCTTCCCCCATTTATACAATGCATCGTCAAATACACATGTCTTCTTTGGCTAATATGTTATGTTTGAAGGACATTAAAATAAGAAAAAACAGAATAATCAACTCCTTTAACAATTCCTCTTATAACATGCAACTTCGGTTTCCAGTCAGTTAAAATAATGTCCGTCTGTTCAACTTAGAATCCAGTCAAAAATCCTTAGAATGACTGCCCAAGGTCCCTACTTCGAATGCACCTCTGTATACCCAGACTTCCAAATCCCGTCCTTGCAACTGTAAGAACGCCTCCATGAAACCCTGGAACCTTATCCCAGTCCTCTAGTTCAACCCCTTTCAATCCGAACCTCTCTCGACAATCCTCTAAGACGCATAAATCTCCAAGACCTAAAGACTTCCACTCTGAGGAATGAGAGTAGTGTTGTGATAGCGGACAACTGAGATTACTTGCTCTGCTCTGGTACTGTTGTAACATAATAAATAAATCAACAAAAAAAAGTACATGTGTTCCTGGTTGTGGGTATAAAAAAATATTTTTTTAAATATATTTGAAGGCTGTTAAATAGTTACATTTAGATGGAAATTGACAAGAAAAGACACTCATTCAAGACATTCTCAGTGGGAGTCTTGACATACCACCAACTCAGAGAAAACCAATTTCTTATTTTCATGTGCAACTAACAGAAATTGAAGAAGAAAGTTTCCAAATTAAAGCTTTTATCGATTGTCCGGTGAAGTGGAAGGCCATCGTGTTCAGCCAATATCGAATGGTTAATACAGGGGATAAATCAATAATAAAAATGCTATGTATGAATCGTGATTTTTCATCCGTTTGTTAAGAGCTGGAGACACGAATGCCCAACGGAACTTCGAAAACACTTTATTTTCTTTAAATTCCCTTCGAAACAAGGCGAAAATTTGGAAAAAACCACTTCGGACCGTTGAAAAAGGAAAAAGTCACTTTCACAGTACATACAAACCAATAATCCCAGCATTTTTTAAATGAAAAATGACTGGGTAAACGAAAAATCTGTTTTTCTTTTTTTAAATAAAACGAAATCCTTCATCCCAAGACGAAAACAAGTAGATTTAAATAATTAATACCTTTTGTAACCTACGCGTTGCAGACATCTTTCCGTGTCAAAAGTGGGATTGGAACTGGCGAGTGGCGACTGGGGAGCCTAGTCACAGGCGAGAGCGAGCGCGAGATACGTAATTTGAGAAATCCGACTCGTCCCGTTACGCCCCTTTTAAAAAGGTCCGATAATATAAAGACTTCTTTCGTATTGTATTTTTTCTTCTTTTTTCACTCTTGGAAATGCACTTCCGACTTTTCTTCGACAACTTTTCCAATCGGGAATAACCGTTTTCGTCCGGCTCCCCACCAGACGTGTCGTCCTTTCGTCTGCACTAAGTCCTTTTCGCTTTTCATTTTTGTATTTTTTAAGGGCCGATTAGAAACCGCAAGGGGAAAAACATGGACCTTTCTAAGTCCTTCTGATGTTAAAACTGGGGGTCTTGAACGGGACTTAGCTCCGGCTAAGCCGAGGATAAATTTCGGAAGGGCACCTGACATGCTCACAGTTGTGACTGTTTACACAAAATCATCTGATTTTTATAAAAATTTAAATTTCTCTGCTTTCTAGATAAACTAAATCATTTTAAAAATATATAGATTGAAAAAAGTAAAAATTTAAAATTTGTCGTTTTAGTGCGCGTTTATACCGTTGAAAATAGAAATCTAACGTTCAAAAGGAACTTTAGGTGCACCGGTGGCAGAACGGTTTAAGCGTTGAAACAGCGCTCATCACAGCAAGGTAAATGTCCCGGGTTCGAATCCAGCGGCCGTGCATTCGAAACCTACACACTTTAAAATGTGCTTCACGGGCACCCGAGGGTTCATATGTGACTTTTTTATGAGTATTCTGCTTTTATGGCAGCTTGGCAGCTTATGAGGATTTTTACGTCAGTCAAACCTGTTTGCAGTACAGCATAGTTACAGGTTCTTGCCCATCAAATACATGAAATATGTATCTAACATGTAATTCAATAATTGTGTTTCTTCGCTAGCATGTAGGTGAAGCTACCTAATTCCTAGCTACCTAAAGCTGACAAACTGGCCAAAGGAGGACATGCAGACCATATATAGGCCTAGAACCTTCTTAGGATAGCAAGAGCAACCTCAGACTCCTTCATCACATAATGGTTTCACAAAAACAAAAGGAGACGTGGACGAACTCTAGAGGTGCCAGCCACATTAAACTTATGATTAAAGAACCATCACCAAAACTCGCAACCGCATTGCTTAAGTTAGAAAGGGTAAAACTTATAGGAGTAGTAGGACTATATGGATACACAACATGGGCTTATTCAACAATGACCCCATTTGTAGGTTATGCAATGATGAGGAAAAATACCATCCATATCATCTTGGAATGTGAGGCAATCGCACAATGGACAAGGAAATCAAGAAGACCCAGAGAAAATAATTGCAGCAATAAGTTTCTGATATAAGAAACTTGGAAAAGTATAAGAAGACTGGATAGTATGGCTGCAGTGCTTTGTGAATACAAAATCCCCGCTTCTTAGTAAGTCCATCATCATCTGGAGGGTTCCAGTTTATTACGCAGTTATGTTAGCTGCAGTTATGTTGCTTAAAGTTCTAGTGGGTGGGATCTAGAGTTTGAAAAATATTTATGATGGTTACTCGTTTTTGAACATAGAGAACATGCAATTGCGTTGATACATCTAGTGGCTTGAATCGAACGTTTTATACATTTAAAAATCTCGATCTATTTCACTCAGGATAACTTCGTGAGATTTTTCCTGCAGTCTGCGGGGCGATGAACCTATTATTTGACCTTTACCGAGGTCTGTCTATCCTGTGTTTTTCTGTCAAACGCTACGATAACTGGTTGAAATATGGAATACTATTTAGTTTGGTGATGACAATACCTCTTATTTTGGGAGCAAGGACATACAACTTTATTGTGTGACACAGATCTAGTAAGTGAAATAGTAATGATGGTGTTGAGGATACCAGGAAACTATGGTTTGGTATTTACCGAGCACTGCAACCATTTGCCTTAGTACTATATATTCCTAATTCCTTAGTTCAGTTCAGTTGACTTGATCCTTCTTTTAAGAAGAATTAGATTATTGACTGCCATTGCTACAATTCTTTTTTCGGTGTCTTCCTAGTACTACGGGATATGTCTCCATTGTGCGGCTGCTTCGCATTATTTAAATTATTGGAATATAATCATGGGTGGTCACCAATGAACATATTCATGTTGGGTAGGTGTTCGCTTAGATGCCGGTGTATATTCCTATTTTACTCTATCTAACTCTAACAATGTATTTTGGCGAGGTTTCTTTAACCACGAGTTTACTACGCCTTGCACCTCTGGAGTTCGTCTATTGCTCCTTTAATTATGTGTAGGCCGATTATGAGATGCAAGATTCAAGGTTTGATCTTGTTATCCCAATTATAGGTTCTGGGCCAATAGCTGGTCTTACTGACTGTCAATTTGTTATGTTTTTCCAGGTTTTGGAGATTTTGGATGTGACCATTTTACATGCTAATGCTTGTAGGGCTGGCTGTTTGATCTTATGAGGTCTTGTCAGCATAAATCCCTAATGAGTTTGACTGTTCATATTTTCCAAACTTTACCAAAATTATTAAGAAATATCGCTACGCACCAAAACTCATTTTTACGTTAAAAATACAGACTTGCGCTAAACTATATATGCCAACAACAAGAACTGAACAGATATTGGTTGGGCCAAAATCAGACATTTAGACCACTATCGTTCATCTCCGGAATCTCCCACGTTACCTTAAACGACGTTAAACCAGAATCCTACTAACCCTTTAGTTAGCTCCTTAGCAGCGAGAATGAAGCCTAAGCTGATTTCTGTTGATTTCATCCTTATTTTTCTCGCTTATAATAACAAAAATCTAAATGTTGCTAGCACAGGCTGAGGGAAGAAAACTTCATCTTTCCAACGGTTGTAAAATAACCTGGACATAGGACAAAATTAAGTGGAGTCAGGAATTTTTAAGTGGAACATCGGACATAGTAGAAAAATAAATTGCCCCCGGCTGTTCCAGCCCAAATATGTCTATTATTAAATGTCTATTACTTTTCGTTTTTGTAACTTTTTATTTATCTAATCTCATTTTAAACGATTTTTCATACTTTCTTATCCAACGTACAAAAATGAATGGACTGCTATAAAATAACCTTAAAATACATGTACAACAATAGCAGAACACCATCTTTAGTTAATTTTTTTCAACTCCTAGGGCTCATTGGCAAGAACTCTCGAACACGCTTTAATATTTTTAGACCTATTTAGTATCACCAAAAAACTTTTCATCGAAATCCAAACGTCCGTAGCCTTCCTCTTGTAAAATTATGGGCTTTAAATTTAATTTAAAAAATGTTATCGTAATTTGATGATTGTGCTTCGTTGATTTAAAATCATACATCCTCGTATTTAAAAAAATTAGACTTGTCACTCTTTCAAAGAAAAGTAAGATTCCAACTCTGCAATGTTGGCTTTAAATCATAAAATTAAATTTAGCGTTGTTTTTTTTTGACAATTGTTACTTACCTATTATAAAAATATATCGTTTGTGTATAACCAATATATAAACTTGTTAACGGGAATAAAACTGGCGATTTTTTAAACGTTACGATAATACGATTTAAATAATACAAACGATAAACTTATTAAAATAACAACAACTTGCTTTTATACAAAAGAAAATACATTTTCTTTAAACTATTTGGCAAAGAGGAGTTTCAGCTTTCCATAAGCACCTTGAGAAACCGGCGTTGCAAAAACTTTCCATTGCCTTGAAATGTTATTCATTTCATAACGCTTTCAAGCTTTTGACACCCTATGTTTGTAGCGGAAAACCGACCCAATTCTTAAAGATGTGTTTAATAATACCATTGAACTGAAAAGGATTCAGAGGATATTTTTAATGAAATGTTTTAATTATAAGAATAATAATATATAAATACATATATGTAGCTATCCCTCTGAAAACAAATACATAAATGAATTGTTATAAATAGAATTGATAAAATTAAAAAAGTATAAAACTAAATTTAAAAAAAATAGATAAATTCATGTTTCGGATCTTTTCTGTAAATCCAAGCTGCTCTTGCTGCGCCAGTGCACCACTTTTGGATACATCCACCAAATTTACAAAGACCCTTCTCAATTACAGACTGCATATGAAGAATAAATAACCTTCTGTATTCGGATAGGCTAAATTTTGCAAATCGCAATGATGTGAAGGTGTCTTCCCTAACTTCTAGACTGAGGAGAGGACAAATCTTTCCATTCTGAACCCTGTATACCTCATAAAATTTTACTAACCGTCTAATAGAATTTATTTCTAAATTTTTCTTATTTTTACCCACCAAACTTTCCCACTTCACATTTGTGTTAAGCTCTCGTATAACATATATACTTGGACTTTTTCCATGTTTTTGTGTTACATGCTGAAGCCCAAAATAACCCTTTCTTCCCCACTTTGTGCGACATAGTTTAGATATGTTTTTATTCATTTTTGTTTTAGCATTTGTTTTGTCGATAGCAAATGAACTTGTAAACTATAGTCGTTTTTTATACAACTTGACTTTGTCCCATTTTACCCACCTAGCAAGATACATTGACCTACATTGAATTTGATGAAACGTGAACACAATAAAAACAGTTAAAACAAAAATTAATTAGGTACGGTAGAAAAAGTGAATTTGTACCAATGGTCTAAACTTTAAAATTGTAATCCTGAAACAGACGTGTTTTTGAACTTTTTCCCTGAGGGTGCAGATATACTATATTATTCTTTAAGTTCTGTTATATATTTTTTATCTCATATTTTAATTAACTTTGTTAAGCCTCAGTACGTAATGTACAAAACGACTTTGTCTTACGTTTGTATTTTTTATAGCTGTAAATATCTGTAAAATATAAATAAAATTAATATTATTATTGTATTATGTTTAATATATATATATATATATATATATATAGACTTCTTTATCTTTTTGCCCTTCTATTTTCCATTGTGAAAATTTTTATTTTTCTGGCCTATAAAAAAGGAACATAGGTTTTTCTGTCATATTACCTTTAAATTAACTTTTTTTAATTTCAAATTAACCCCTTTTAACTTGAAATTAACCCTTTTAAATTTCAAACGAACCCTTATTAATTTCAACTTACCCGTTCTTTAAAGCATTAATAAAAATTTGGGAGATGTATGAAATATTTTCAAAGGCCAAAAAACCGTACACTGGACGTATTTTGTTGTGTATTTCAAACCATACTGAGAGGCAAAAAATTAGCCACTCTCGATTTTTAGTTAATACTAGCGTTCTATCGTTATAGTTTTGATTTATTGTTGTTTACTGGATATGTTTAAATAAAAATACAAGATGTAGTTAAATAAAAAAAATTAAACTGAGTGAAACAATTTTACAAAAAATGTTGCTATGGAAATAATGAAGAAAATATTAAATTAAGTATTTCCTCCCCTTGCGTTAATCACCGCATGTATTCGATGTGGCATCGATTTTATAAGTTTTGAATGTGGTACTGTGGAATATTTTTATACTCCAAAAAGCTTCTTCTCCAGCACCAGGAGAAGATGCGTGTGCATCACTGGGCGAATTTTTACCCTCTTTGACAGGGGTACGAACGGGTATTGTGCGCATCTAACGGCCTCTAATACTCAACTCCGACTTTCCACCTTTATGAAGCTTACGCGGGTGTACCCTGTTAATTAAATAGACGGAAAAAGGGGTACGGAGGAAGAGGAGATATGACCTGTCACCTCCTAATCCCAACACCCCACACCTTACCTACCCCTCTTCATACCTCAAACCCAATCCTAATCTCACATTCAATCTACGGTGTTATGCGACCCGTGCCGATGGATGGATGGATGATACAGGGTTAACTGTACCAATAACGGAGCCTCAAGTGTACCAGGTGACCCCCTTGAGTAATCAACCTTACACCGGAGAGAGGGCTCCTCCGGTGCGGACCTTTATATCCTCATACTCGTGGGAACCATATAGAAAAACCAAGAGAAAACAAAAATTACCGAGGGAACTTGCAAAGGAAGATTCCAAAAACAAACCTATGGAACTGAGAAGGGCTCCGAACCTTCCTCAACTCCCATAAACGAAGAATTAGAGTACAGTCTCCTCGCGTCACCTTCTGTAAATGTAGGGGGGGGGGGTCTTCAGGAAAAAACGGGCAAAATATTGTTTTAATAATAATCAATGGACGATTGTCTAAAGGATAATTAAAAATATTAAGGGTATCCGCTTTTTTGCTTATCATTGTGTATTTTTATCGTCATAAAAAATTCAGCAAAGAGCAAAACCAGGTAATAAATTTTAGTTAAAGTATTCTATCGCTAAATCATTTTCCGGTGTTTGGTGTTCTTTCAAACCATCAGAATTAAACACTTTTTATTAAAACTCGTGAACTTGTGATCTCGTTTAATTAGGCTTACATTAAAATAAGTATGTTGTAATTAATATAACGATAAAAATACATCTAGTTTGAGATAAACAACAAAATACGCCGTTGTCCAGTTTTATGTTTAAGGGTGTAAGCATGTAAGTAAAATTTCTGTATATTTGTGAATATTTTTTCCATATAAAGTAATTGGGCTCTTAGGAGACCATATGAAAATGAATTAAAATTAAAATTTATATAATGTTAAATACAAAAAAATCGACTCTTCTTTTAATTTGAATTTAAAAATTACAAAATGGGTTTCTACCTAAAATACTACATGAAAATTAATTACAATTAAAATTATGTTATATAACATTAATGCAACCATAATTAACCATAGCATAATTAACCATTCCAAATCGGCACCTTACTGTTGTTCAAGCGATTCATCAGCTCCAGGATATTCGAGGTGTCCAAATTTATGAACGCACTGTTCGAAGAAGATTAAATCAGTATGGGCTGATGGCTTTTCGCCTCGTAAGAGGACCAAAATGGACCAGAGCACACAGAGTTGCACGGCTCGCATTTGCTCGAGAACGCGGCCATTGGTCTTTGGACGATTGGTCTGCTGTACTTTTTACAGATGAGTGTAGATTTGTTCTACGGGCTCCAAATGGGCGTGAAAGAGTGTGGAGAAGGCGAAATGAAAGGTACGAAGCCTGGAATTTTTCTCAGAGCCAACCAATCCAACGTAGCTCAGTGATGGTGTGGGAGGGAGAGTCGCACAGAGTTGGTTGTTGTTCGTCGAGGGTAATTGTAACATAATGCGTTGCCTATCCTCGATGAAATTGGCGACAATCCTTTTCTAATGCACGATAATGCCCGTCCACATGACGCTCGCATCGTACAAACGTACTTCAACAACATAACATCAGGGTCTTAGCCTGGCCAGCCCGTTCTCCAGACTTAACCCCTTCGAAAATTATCGGACAACCTCAAAAGACGAGTAAGACAATGTCCATTACTTCTCGTTACACTCCACGATCTTGAAACGACTCTTCGTGAAGAATGGGCTAACCTCCAGCAAAGAGACATTTCCAGACTGGTAAAAAGTATACCAAGGCGTTTTCGAGGTGTAATTAAGGTAAGAGGAGGAAATACGCGAATTGAAATGATAATTAAAAATCTAAAACAAAATTAAAACAAATTTTATCTGTCCGTCTTTTTTTCATTTTTCATTTTCCTTAGCAATTTACATTTTTATTTTTATTTTTAGACAAAGACTAAATTATTACACGTTAAAAAATATATAAAAATATATACGAATCAAGTTGTATCACAGTTGCAAGTGGGTGGAATTTTTTGCCTGTCAGTACATTTAGGAATTTTATTTTACAGAAATAGAAATAGATCAGATGGAATTCGTACAATTACAATTGATTGGTGGTTTTATTTTAATTCTTATACTTCATACCATCTATGTTGTTTTAATGCTTTAAAGAAAGAATTAATGAGAAATTGAAAAGGTTTAATTTGAAATTGAAAGGGTTAATTTGAAATTAAAAAGAGTTCATTTGAAATTCAGAGAGGCAATTTGAAGTTAAAAGAGTTAATTTGACGGAATAAAACTATGTCTTTAAATTTGCTTAAAAATAACTCAATTTAAAATAATGAAGATGAAAGCCATTAGATTATTTTATTCATATTCCTTAAAAATGACGTCATATGATATTGTGGTCGAGACAACCTGTAAGGGGACAGGTTGACGTACTGTTCTCGTTACCTCCAGCCGGCCTCTCAGCTGTTGACACAGCATCGTAGGTTCCAATCCTCACACGGCAGGTCATCTTAAATTTTATTTAATTCTTGGTTTCATTTCACCTTTTCTCTCATTGCCGTAGCCTTTTCTAATTATTCCCAACCATACCTTCGTAGTGGTTTTGTGTTTTTTTTTTCAAAAATAGGTACGAATTGACATTTGCACGATGATAATTGATAACATACCGAATCCAATTAAACTCAATTAATTGCGATTACAGGTACCTAAAACTGGAAAATTATAATCTACGATGGCCTTAATGCAATGCCGCATCTTCATTGCAATCCTGGTGATGTCATTTGTTAGCCACATAAACGGTATTGAAAAACCGAAGAACCCGGATAGTAAGGAAGCAGAAAAACTTCCACCGTGCCAGGCCTGTAAAACAGTGGTGAACAGCGTTCAACATGTGAGTAATAGTTTAGTAATATGAAATTTCAATTCAGTAATATCGCCATACTAATTCTGCTGCAAGAAGTAAGGTGACATGTAATATGGATCATTTATTTTCTAAATTATGTGGTGAATTGCAGCTACAGTGCATACAAAACTACAAACAATCTTAATGTCAGGAGTATTTTTCTTACTAATTGTACTGCAAAAAGAAAATTTGTTTTAAATATGAATAATTTAGTTACCCAATCAAACAAGAAGTGCAAGAAATAAACAAACACAACAAATACAACATTACAAGCCATTTTGCAGTTAAATACTTTTTTTACTTATTATATTACAAAACGTACTTCTGTGTTAAATATGGGTTATTTAGTTACCCAATCATGCAGTGAAGTGCAGGTAGAACTCATAAATAATCAAATAATGCTATGAAATGTTGTGCATACAAAATTACAAATGGTTTTTGCAGTTAGTCAACAGTTTCTTACTAATTGCACTGCAAGATGTAAGTTTTTTGTTAAATTTATTACTAAATCAAACAGTGAACTGAAAATAGAAACTCATTCAAATTACAAGTGATTCGGTAGTTAGTACAACTTTCCGTACTAATTGAACTTTTGCAATATGCAAAATTTGATGTCATGTGAAGTTTGAACAATACAAAATTAGAAGTATTTTTAAAATTCATTCTAAACCTGTTTTTATTTTACTGCAAGTATGTTTGTGTGAAATATGGGACAATGAGTATTTAAATTAAATAGTTTTTACTGATACTTTTCTTACTAATGTTATTGGGAAAAATAATTTTGTGTTAAATATGGGTAATTGACTTTCTCTATCATAAGACAAATTGCAGGTAGGACGTGCTAAAGGTCAAATAAGGTTGCCTCTTCATGACCTATGTTGGTCTATTATGCAATATCCATTATTATCTAGAGCTCTTGTTAAGCTTAAGGCTTTTTACCAGATCCCAAAGCTTTTTAAGGGGCTCCCATATGTTTCCTTCAGGCCTTAGCTTTTCCTACCCCAGGAGTAGGAATTTCTGCCTGCATAGTTCTTTGAACCAACAGGGCAGGTGATGTTTTGTTGTGATGTTTCTTCTTTTTCCTGATAATATCTGCACAGGGTTGTTTCTGCTGCTCCAAGTCTATATACATGCCTCCAGAATTCAGTGTTCATTAAGCAGTCCTACTATATTTTGAGCCCAACACGTCCTAGTTTTAGATGCTGTAGTAGAAACACCGAATGTAGAACATTTTCAACTTGTTGGAACTTGTATTCAAGAACTATCTTTCTTTTGTATTCTTGCAATCTCAAGAAATCTGATAATTTCTTGATTATTGTGGATATTCAAAGGCTGTTTAGTGAGAATTGAAGGTTTTTTGCTCATCTAGCCTTTGAATAACAAAATTTAATCCTTGGGTGAAAATTCGGCGTTAATTTGAGTATCTAGTGATAAAAGTTTTGGTAGGTATAACAAATAATATTTTTTTTAAAAATATTCTTCTGTATTTGCTTATTTTAAAATATATGCTGATATCTAGCATAAAAGCTTTAGTGGTATTAACTTACAAATGTAAAATAATTCCTATCATACCAGAAGGCTTAACGTCCAACTACCCATTGGGTGTCATGGACAAGGGGCAGAACAACTTTACAATACTTTTTGCAAATTAATCTCAAATAAAATTTCAAAGTCAGTGCTGGGATTCAAACCTAGAGTCACTAGCTTGGCAAATACGAGCACATTAACCATTATGTTTAGCCTGAAAGGGGGGGGGGCGGAGCCATTGGCATAATATCAAATATCCCAGTAAGTCCCCTAACTTTATCTGTACATATTGAATGAATGTATTTCTTAGATTGAATGCTCATGTATGTATGAGTGGTCTGTGCCAGAATATACAGTACACCGCAGACCCATCCACCTTAGTTGGGTTTTATTTATTTTATTTATTTATTTAGTTTTATTTTATTTTATTTATTTAGTTATTTTATTTATAAGAGTGGTTGTGGGTGTAAATTTTGTGCATTAAATATACATCTGTACTTATGCAATTAGGAAAAGTATTACCTGTTTTGAATATATGAATATGGGCTTTTTTTACTATTATATAATTTTATTTCCAAAAACAAATTTCTCAGGGCATGGCAAGGACCAATAAAAGGCATTTTGGTGGAGGTGATACGGCTTGGGAGGAAGAGAAACTAGGTGATTATGCCCAAAGTGAAGTACGATTAGTTGAAATACAAGAGAAACTTTGTGCTGAAGTTCAAAGAGGTCAAAATCAGGTACATTTACCATTTCAAAGTAGACATTAGAGAACATGTACGTTTTGTGATTTGAAATCACAATACCGATTGCTAGCAAGTTTTGTAAATTATTCATTTTAAACTTTCTCGATAAAATCTTGTTTGATTATGTTGTTATAATTGTTATAAACATTATAGTGCTACTCATTAGCTGAGGAATGGGAACAGCTAATCGAAGAATGGTGGTTTAAACAGAAAGAACTTGGAGATCTTCATTCTTGGCTTTGTATTAAAAAAGTAGAATATTGTTGCCCCGATAATCATTATGGGCCGGAATGCAAACCATGTGAGGGCTTTCCGGACAATGTGTGTAACAACAATGGCCAATGCAAGGTAAAATTCATTCTTTTTCATTTAATACACAATATGAAATAAAATAGAACATCAAATAACAATTCGTTAGTACTTTCTTACATAAAACATCTTGACATGGAACTTGTTGAGGTGATTAATGAATAATCCTCAATTTACAAATTTGGATCTTTTTAAGTCAATCATAACAAAAATAATTTTAAAAACTTAAATCCTTTGAAAGATGTTTGAGAAAACATTAAAAAAATTATCACTCTTCAAACATTGAAATTTATTTTCAATTATGTTTACAGGGTTCTGGCACTAGGAAAGGAAATGGTGATTGCAGATGCAATGCTGGTTACAGTGGTCCAACTTGCAGCGAATGTGCAGAAAAATATTATGAATCGTATAGAGATGAAAAGAAACTGCTTTGCTCCAAATGCCACCCAGCTTGCAAAGGAAGTTGCTCAAAAGCTGGGCATAAAGGTAAGGTATATTTCACATATAATTGATTTATTCACCATCACAAAAAGACCTATATTTTTTATTTGATTAGGATGCAATGAATGTAATAGTGGTTGGATGAAGGATGGAGAACGTGGTTGTGTGGATATAAATGAATGTACTTCTAAGGATTCTTGTAAAACAAACCAGTTTTGTGTAAATAACGATGGATCATATTCCTGTCTTGGTATGTTATGTCCTATTTATAAAATATCATTAATGTTATCATTTTATTATTAATATGTTGTTTACAGCTTGTGATAATTCTTGTGAGGGATGTCATGGTGATGGGCCAGACATGTGCAACAAATGTGCAAGTGGATATGTGCTCAAAGATGGTCTTTGTATTGGTAAGTTAAAGCATTTATTCATCTGTAGAAAATTTATAGTAGTTATATTTATTATCATTGATAAAATTCTATTCACTATTAGAATCAAGACATTGCGTGTAAGTGGTTAAAAACAAATGACCTTGTTTAGACATATGTTAAGATTTTATATAAATTACAAAATATATATACCTATTTTTTCAAACTTTTTTTTTGTAATTTAGGTGTTCAGACAAGTTCATCAGACTGGACTAGATACCTAACGTATCTTGGGCTTTGTATAGCAACCTGCATAATTTTTCAAAAGAACACGCTCATTGCAAGTGTTATAGGTTTATCGGTTGCTGTTTATGTTGCAGTTTCTGAGTACATGCTGAGTACTTTAACTAATCAAAACCAGTTTTTTCAAAATAGCATAGATTCATTTTTAAAAAATATGAACTAAGACTAATTTATTGTCTTGCATTCGATTTGTAAATGTCCAGTTATATATGTTTCAGTGAAAGTAAGAAAATGATTGATAACAGTTTTTCTGGAATAATTCCATATTTCCTACCCTGTGCCACATTATTTCAAGTGAAGATGTTAAATTTCTTTAAAACCTTAAGTTACCTTAATTATAAAGAGGGATGCAATAATTAACACATAGACACACAAAAAAAAAAAAAAAAAAATATATATAATATGCAGCCTGATTGTTAAAATTACTATGTAAACATTGCTTTTTCTGTGTACAGAGTATTTTTTTTTATTTTTAAACTTGCTTTACATAATATAGTCATTAACCTGCCCTGGGGCATGCTTACAGTCTTTTACTCGTACATCACAGTATCTTTGGATGATGTACGGGGTGTCCCAGTTCCTTCTGACGAAACTCAGGGAATCGATTCTACTCTTCGTTTGGAGCAAAAAATGCCCAGGAGAAAATTTTTGGAACGTTCTCTATTTTGAAGATATTCGTCAATTTAGGTTTTTTTCAACTTTTCACTACCTTACCACATAAAAACGCTTAGAACTTCCAAAATGTTGAGACTACAACAAATCCAATTACACCATTTGAAAGCACGCTAAATTTGCTGTAAGATACTTCTATTTGCAATAAGCTGAATGACATAAAATGTTAGCCAATATCAGTTGGAACATGTCAAAATTACAAAATTTAAAATTTTGGTCATGATTGCACGTTTTACTGAGGTTACAAAAAATACCTACAACTTGTCAAATTTCACAAAAACTTCTTCATCTAATATACTTTACATTGATATATCCAGGTTTTTAAATAACATTCTAGTAGAGTTGAAAAATAACAATTGAATGTTCGAAAACGTGAGCTAAGATAAATTTGAAGGGGGTGTACAAATAAATCAATTAGAGCTCGCTTTGTGAAATAAAATTTATTATTTATTTGTTTTAAATTTTGTAATTTTGACATGTTCCAACTGATATTGGCTAACATTTTATGTCATTCAGATTATTGCAAACAGAAGTATCTTACAGCAAATTTAGCGTTCTTTCAAATGGTGTAATTGGATTTGTTGTAGTCTCAACATTTTGGAAGTCTAAGAGTTTTTATGTGGTAAAGTAGTGAAAAGTAGAAAAAACCTAAATTGACGAATATCTTCAAAATAGAGAACTTTCCGAAAATTTTCTCCTGAGCATTTTTTGCTCCAAACGAAGATTAGAATCGATTCCCTGAGTTTCATCAGAAGGAACTGGGACACCCTGTATGTGTATATATATATATCACTGAGTTTTTTGGCCATGGCATGCCATATTGTAATTGACCAATGTGTCTTATGTAGAGGCCCCCAAATAGCACACCCCATGGTGGGTTAAAAGTTGCATTTTAAAATCCAACTTTCTCAAGTTTAATTACAATATTAAAATGAAGTAATTTTAATGTGCATTTTTATGTAAGTATTAACAAAAATTGTACTTCTTGTTGTCTTCTGCAAAGGACAAGATAATTGTACACCGTTTTAAAGTGTGATAGTATTGTAACTCCAAGAAAAAGGCAGTACATAGCAATTTGTTCAAGAAAATGTTCCTCATAAGAAATGTATTTTAGTTATGAAAACTATTTTAATATTAACCATCACTTTTATCGACCTGATTTAACAGCACACCTAGAAAAGAAGAGGTATTATAAAATGTACTAATCCAAGTAATGTTAGTATAATTTATTTGAGAAAAGTTTTCTTTTAAAATTTGGTGAACAAGCATTTATAAAGAAATTATGAAGCTTTATTTTGGGGGGCGCTTGTTGATTGCAATCGTTAAGGCATTGACAAGGCGACTCAATGGAACGTCCACAGTGGCTTTGAATCCAAACCCGAGGGGTTGATATAGCCTAATAATTGCTAACCATAGTTAAAAAAATTATGTTTGTGCAAAGCAAGGGTGAGGAGTCCGTGACTTCTGAAGTGCTATACAAAACACATGCTTTACACTCACACATTTTCTCTGCTTTACAGAAAGACATTGAACTATAGATATATAAAGTAATCCTAACCCTAATCACCTTACCTAACCTACCTTAATCTACCTAAACTAACCTAACCCCATTCTACCTAACCTAACCCTAATCTATCTTACATAACCCTAATCCAACTATCCTAAATGTAATTTAACTCACATAACCCTAACCTGAATGTACCTAAACTAACATATCCTTAATCTACCTAACCTAACCCTAATCTATGTTACCTAACTCTAACGTAATTAACCTAACCATAATCTACCTAACCTAACCCTAATTTATTTTACTTAACCCTAAGCTAATCTTTGCTTACACTCAATAGTGTAAACAACCAAACCGTAATCTAACTAACCTAACCCTAATCTACATAACCTAACCATTACCCTACCTAACCTAACCCACCCAAACGGTTTTCAGCCCAAACACATCAATGTTAAAAATGAACTTTATTTTCCCTCTAAACTTTGAATGATCATAAATTACAATCAAGTATTGGTTGTATTTATTCTTTATTATTATTATTATTTTTAGTGGGTATTTAAACTATGAGGCTACATGAACCATCAGAGGGCCAGTGTATTTGAAAGAAAAATCCCATTTGTAAGCACTGTCATAAGCTGAATGTATGTCGGGTTCGAATTCTGTTATTCCATCAGTTTGATCTGGATAACATCTAATGTTCGTCATAGTTTTAAAAATTAATTTGTTTTTAATGTTCTTATGTCTTGCATATTAGCCAGGAATGATTGAATCATATTGTACATATTTTTGGAGAGGAAAGGGAGCGTTCAGGAAATTATGAGCCAAAAGTCAGACAGTCTTGGATTCTGAGAACCCCCTTAACCATAATTCTTTCCAGAATACCAGAGATACTCCTCTTTGCTTACACTCAACAGTGTGAAAAATATAAATTTGCGAGGAAAAAAATATAATTTATACAATTGATTTTTTTCGGTTTGATTGCCAATAGAGATATTCAATTGTGTTTTTAATGGCACTATTTTATATTCAGCTAACTTCAAATGAAACATTGCACTAGTTTACATGTAGGATTATATTTATGTATAATTATTCTAGTGCTAATTGCAAGAGTATAAGTTTTTATTTCTATTTATTAGATATCTGTCTTGTCAATAATCTCTTAGCAAACAAAAATTACCGTAATAATTTTAATTGGATTTGTCATTGCTGAATGATGTATCTTTCTTTTTAGTAAATATTTAACTTTTTATAATACATTGTATTAGTGTCACTAAATTGTAAAGATCAAATATTTCTTGGCCATGTCAAGTATAATGTGCAATTAGGTACAGATAATGTAATAATAACTAATAAAGAAAAATTTCTGCTCTTTAGCAGAAATTCTGTCTTTCACCATTAATAATGGAAAAGTGATTTATAATTACTGTAAATTATAATAAAAATATTAATTTATAAGGTTAATTTTCAACTTTAAATTCAGTGGTTATATCTATTGACTTTCATTTTGTGGCATTTATGTTAAAATTTAATTTAAATTTTAAGCTTCATATATATATTGTTAATTTATACATTTCTCTGCTGCATAATAATTATCAAAGTTCCAAATTTTGTCTTGGCATGAGTGTAGTTTGTTTCAGGTGACCAAGTGATTATCTTGTTTTTTAGATATTTGATTCATACAAACTCAATTTTCCTCTAGATTTGATCATTTATGTTTTAATTGACTTTATGCTTCAATTTTTTTAAAGATATAAAACAGTCTGTCGAACTGTTCTAACAAATTATAGATAAACAATAATAACCTTGTTCCTTATAGCTTCATTCATTGGTGTTAAAAATATAATACTATTATTTTATACCTACTTACATATGTATATTTTGTATTGTGTCTTTTTTTCTTGCTTTTTATTTGTTCAGGTAGAATTTGGGGGAAAAAATAATGCCTGACAAAATTCTGACTTAAAGAACTCAAATTCAAGAACCAAAAAATTTAAACAAAATACAAACAAACAACCAACTAAAAAGTGATTAACCAAGTTAGTAAACTAGAGAAATTTTTCTACTCTATTGACAAGCCCATTACTTAACAAAATTTAAGAAATACCATTTTAATGTAAAGTTTCATTCATCACATATTTGTTTATAGTATAGTAGTATAATATTAGTACCGAGTGATCATCACTGACTCTTTGCTCCTAAAATAGAAAATTGTGCATTTTCTTTCATGCATCTTTCTCAGTGACTCAAATTTTCTATCTTGTTTTCTTAACTTGCTGACCTCTCATTGTTACCTTGGTTTGTCAAATTTATAATAAAGGAACAAGAAGAAACATGCTAGGAACATATGAAAAGCCTCTAGTGACAGGAGCAATGCCTCTTATAATTTTGGCATTAACTTTGGTAGAGTATATTTATTTCAAGTAAATTGAATATGGTTTGCTTTTAACAAGATAATTGAATATAGACATTGTTTACTAAAGAGTTCTTGTACCTTTCTAATGTACCTCTTCTTATTTAAATATTATATCAACGATAATTCGATTTTATCAGTGAATTTTCATGTACAGTCACATTTATAAATTAATTTTTTGTTTGCTCTAGCCTAGGGTACCCCTATTGGTTTTATGGTTTGATTTGTATGATGTATTATTATTTTTTTAAATTTGGGGTGATTTGATTTGTATGATGAGTGTTTTTTTAATGTAGGGGCAAAACATAATTCTCTTCTTACATGGTATGAAATTAAACCAAGACAACTTTTTCAATGTGTATCTATGTAATTGATTAAGAGAATAAAGATGAATGAATATGGGAAACTAAAGTGACCAGTTTTTATTTAACTAAAAAGTAAATTCTCTTAAAAACATGCAATACTATTTAAAGAAAAAGGATATCATGAACATAAACAAGTTTCAACTGTTTTATGTTTAATTGTCATTAAAAGTGTAGCTAGTTCCACAATTGTTATACATTTTAGTTCATTTGCAAACTTTAGTTGTTTGTTATAGAAATATAGATGCTTATGATTTATTATTTGGAGATAAAAGTTTTTGTTGTTTATTAAACTGTGAAATATCATATGGCTAAAATTTTATAGTAATTGTGACACAGTTGCTCTCATTTTATACTAATTTATTTGTGATATTAAGTTAAGGATCATATTTGTTCAAAGAAATTATGTAAATTTTGAAAGAAAAAAAATGAATTAGATGT